CCCTAGCAATACCAACAGAATGATGTCATGGCACCAATACTTTAACTTTGTTTAAATTAGAGTGGGTAGGAAAGGGATGTGGGAATGTATAGCAACTCTGTTGCACAAGCAAATGGAATATTCTCTGCCTTGTGCTGCTATTTTACTACTGCACAATTGAAGTCGATAGCAGGTGAACTTGATGCACATGTGACTGCAGATGTTGCCTATCAGATCTACATTATTTTCAAACTGATCGACACACTCATTTCTACAGAAAGATCCTGCTTCAGAAGATGCTACTTGATGCAGGAAAATATTACTAATCTTTAAGTTGCCACAGGCTGCTGAAAAGCATTTTCCTCTAGGACATGCATGCTCTGGGACATACTGGCCAACACACAGACACAAGAACTGCCTATTGCATCTCTTTCTCTGGTTGCTAAGGAAGTGATGCAGACCAAATCGAGGTTGCAAGAGCTCCCTTTTGAATATAATAGTTGGATTAATTGGCATGCACTGCCCCACTTAATTAGAGTCATGGGAAAAAGAAGTGCTTCAGAGTGTTTATGTCCCACTGATTTTAATGGGAAAAAGTTTAAATAGTTGCATAACTCTCCCACTGAAATAAATTAGGATTAGGGCATAAATTTCTCTGTGGGGATCATGGTCAATCATGGAGTAAAATTGACAGGCTTGCAAATATTAGAGAAGGAGAATCTTTCAACAGCATTGATCTATAAACATTGAAGGATAAATATTTACTTCCGCAGGACTATATCACAAGCAGAAAATAAATTAGGGAATGTTCAGGTGCTTTACATCTTAGCAGATTTTTTGAAAAGTATACATGTCAAAAATGTAATCCTACATAACTGACATAGGTCAGAACTGTGATGCATTTGATCTTATTTTTTTTTACTACTGGCATGCCAAGGGTATACTTTGAAATCCAGACTTTGTTGTACTACAAAGAAATATTATCTTAAACCACAACACTGTTCTGCTACATAAAGTATGTTTTTTTAAGTTCAATATTGTCTCACATCTAAATACAAATGGGGAGATAAAGTGCTGATTCTCCAGGTAGATTTGTGGCTTTGAGTTTTTCTTAAAACAAAAAGAAAGAAAGCAGAGCTGTTTAGAGCCTTAGGCTATCTTTACTTTTATGTACTAATTGTCAAATACTTACTATGACAATGTCTTTCAAGCTATTGGCTCATACTGACCTAACTGATGTTCACAACTGAGCCTATTAATGTATAAGAAGAATACAATTTTATGTTTGATATATTATCTAGGATATGTAAGGCTTTGCAAATCAAGCATTTCTGGCCTGTCCTGGAGTTTGCAAAAATGTCAAATTTGTGAATTTTAACTTAGCAGTTAAAGAAGTGAATTGTTAATTATGCCATATGCTTTGGAACATTCACACAGTGCAGAGGGATGGCCAGATCTGAAGAGGAAAGCCAGGAGGTGGCTGCAGTGGGAAAAGTCATCTATAATGGCAGATTCCACACCAGATGTCATGTTGCGTACTCATGTAGTAATAACATGAGGGCTGCAGGTAGGGAAACCTCCTCTGTGTGCATAGAGCTGTCAGCTCAGAGCCTCGTCAGGTATTCTACTCAACATGGGGTTTTTGAATGGCAAAATGACGATGTTGAAGGAATTTAAGGTCAATTTAAGGTTTGAACAGATGCCAAAAGCAGGGAAGGATATTGGCAAGAGACTAAAAATAGGCAACCGGTGACTGAGTTTTAAAAGAAGCATGCAAACATCTATGGAAATGGGTTAATCCCAAAGAACATTATTAAAACAGACAACCTATTTCTATGCATATTTACTTAATAAATCCATGTTGCTCCTAGAACTGAAGCAAAAATGTCCCCTAAAATTATCCTTAGTGATTCAAGCCCAGCATTGCTCAAATACTCTTTATGTGCTTGAATGTTTTACATTTGTATTTGACCCACAATGATATCTGATTGTGTAGCATTTGATAGCTGGCTTACAATGGTATTTAACATCTGGTAGTGCGCAAGTGCTGATACCTGATATTCAATAGTATATTACAAGGAACCAAAAATATGACTGTCAAATGACTGATACATATTGAAGACTCTTCTGGGACATGTTTGATCGATCATATGTAGGGTCTGATCATGTCCTACTGCAATCTGACTGTAGTCTGGATTCTAACACTTTGCTCTGTAGACAGAATAATCTTCCCTAATATGATGAGAGATGACTCCATGCAAGGACGTAACGGTCGTGGAGAGCTGAACATCAAGGATTGGGCTGTGAGCTGGGGTTTTGTTCCTTCCATTCACAGAGTAAAAACTGAAGATCTGAGCTAGTATGTCCTACTACCCCTCCCCCCCATATTCTGTTGTTGCTGCACAGAAGATAAGGTGTGTTCCTCAGCTCTATGAACCTCTGTAACATGGTTGGAACATTGTCTCCAAAGGAAGTTTATGGTTAGCATGCACTATTATTTAATATTAGATAGTAATTTGATAGATATTTGACATGCAATGGCCTCTATTATCTTATTGTTTTTGATAGAAAAGTGCAATGATATTTAATATCTGACAGCATCTGACATTTAATATTTAATGGTGATGTATAACTGACAGTTGTCAGGTCAGATTTGAAAACTTTTCAGTCCTATAAATCTAGAGATAAATTGCAAATGGTGACCCTGTTTTTCTTTGAAAACTACCACTAAAGAGGTAAATGGCAACGTTTTAAGAAATCATCAAATTCTGAATGCTTCAAAGTATTTTTTTAGAGTTAGTTGGGTTACTTCAGGTGCTGTTAATCTGATGGTCTGTGATTTGCCTCCAATAGGAGATAAAACAAATAAACAGAGAACCAGAGACCTTTTATATATTTGGATGCAGAAAAACTCTTAATAGTAAAACATGATAATAATAGACCTAAGAATGGAAGAATTTCTTCCTTTTAATGGTCAAAGTCCTCACTGAGTAGGACTGCATCACCATGCAGAATATTAGTACCTTTAAAAATATTTATCCCCCCCACCCCACACACACAGTTTTTTCATCTTTATCTGTGGACATATGGATTGGGCTATCTGAAAATTAATTTTAAATACATGGATTGAGAAACTGTGATGAAGTAACACTTTTTTCTCCACTATATAAGAGAATATGTAACAAAAACGTGCATGTGTGTGCATGTGTTGTCGTTTTTCTGAGTTTTTGTTTTGTTTGTTTTTTCAACGCCCAAAAATGTGATTAAATACGGTGAGCCATGGCACACCTTCCTCTAGTACTCATGGGAGTATACATCTGATAAATTTTAAACAAGTAGGGGAAAAGGACAATATAATAGTGACATGTATTAACTCTCATAGAAGGCAATGTGGCTGTGTTCTTGAGATGTTCAAAGAAATAACACCTTGAGTTGCAATTATTTTTTGCAATGGAAAGAACAGTATACAGGTTCTGAACTATAACAAACCATAAACACATTATATTGCTGCAATTGGGAAAATAAATAATGCATGTCACTAGACAGCATGAAATGCAGCCTAGATGAATGGAAGCACCACACTAGCTTCTTGCTCAATGCCTTTTCTCCGTATTCTGATAACTCTTCCTTTGCCTACAGCATTTTTCTTTGGTTATCTGAACATTCATCCTCTTGAGGGGATTTACATATTATCTTAGATTCAAATATTTGTATTGGGGGAAATGGCTAGAAAACTGCACTTATAATACCAAACCAGGGGAGGGAGATAACTATTTTTATTTACAAGTTGTCTTTTATAAGTTATTTACAACTGAGTAATTCAAATAATGAAAAAAGCTTATATAGGCTGGTTGGGAAAGATGTATTTCTTGCCACTTGAACACCCCAATTCACACAAGTTTTTAATGAAAAGTAAACTGTTAGTGAAAATCTGGAATTGCTCAGGCCAGATGAGAATTTGAAAGCCCTCTGTGAGCAATATGTGCACCTCATTTTTTTGTTCCCATTTCTCTTTAGCATGAAACTCGATAGCATTAAACTTCCATATTAGGGTAGCCACTTTGGAAATGCCAAAGAAACCAAAGCAAACACTGATTTGTAAGTATTTTGTATATGCTATTTTATATACATACATACATGCATACATACGTACATATAACAACACCAATATTACACTTCCTTCTTTTTCTAGGTCTAGAAGGAACTGTGTGGTAGGCCTGCTCCCTATATATGAGGTCCAACAGGTAGCTGTATGTAGTCCTGTTAAATTGGCCATTTATCCATTTCCCAAAGAAAGAGTCACACAAATATTGCATATCAAAATTCATGTGAATAGGTCCACATTTGGAAACACTCTTTACCATTTAAACAGAAGGGCAACAAATCTCACCAGGTGAATGCTGCTGAGAGGCAACTTCAAGATTTATGCCTTTCTTTATTTTTTTTTATTGTAAAACCTGGCTTTACAAGCACACTTTTAAACAGAGGTCTGTCCTCTGCACAGAAGGAAACTTGACTATCCTTAACTCTGTTAATTAGCAACAGCCTAAATGTTATAGTCAAGGATTAGCAATCCATACTCCAATGGGCTATTGCTCAAACTGACAGAGATGGAAGGGTGTATTTTGCGTCTGTTGAGTTAGACTAGTAAAATAATCTGAAGGCAGGAGCGCTTGTTGTCATGTTTATCCCTCTGAGAAATTTCCAGGATTGTGAGATGAAAGAGGTTTCAAAGCTTCAAACAGGCTTGGGGCTGTCACTTTAGCACACAGTGTGGGTGATTCCAGTTCGGTCACATCAAATGATAGTGACTTGTTTGCCAGGTTTCAGTGTTTATGGCCTTACAACGTAATACAATACAGAGAAGTGCATGATCATGTACACATCTCTTAGGTGAACTAGAACTCTATTTCTTATCATTGAGCATCAAGTCTATCCATCAGTAAGAGAATTATCATCCCCAGTCCTCAAAGTACTGAATGATACAAGTGTACATAGGTATGTACACAGTCCAATGTTTTACATCAGCTGAGCATTTTGGCACATTTAGAACATTTTTGCACAGGCTTTGCTTTCAGAGAGTGAGGGGCTTTGCAAGCAACAGCTAGAAGAATCCATTTCCCTTCTGTTTTCCTTGCTGGGTTATCTTGTGTTTTCACAGGCACCCCGAGTCAGATGAAGTGCACCCTCAGCATAGTACTACCAATGGGCTCTCCACCTCCATGCTGCCTGAGCCATGCAGGGCCATTGCTCTTTGCTTTTGCTCTTGCCAGTCCAATCTGCCCCTGCCCGTTAGCTAGTTCTCTCTCCATTTTTCTTCTTTTGAACCTGGCAGCATTGGCATCTCCTCCTCCTCCTCTTATTCTAGCCCTGTGCCCTGCTAGAGATGTTGGAAAAATCCAAACAGGATTCAATTGGCTTCAAATATCTATGAATCCAGCCCTCAGATTCTGCCTTGTACCACCATCTTCCAATTCATGTGAACTTACAGATCATTTCTCGACTTTCCGAAATCATAGATAAACTTAGAAGTAGGAACATACAAAAGTTATTGGATATATATACATCCAAACTCACACACTATATATGAGTTTAAAATGCACACACAACTTTTTATTAATCTCTGCAGCTTCTGCTGTCTAATTCTGCTTTTTCTATGCTCTGCTTATTGATTGTACCCTGAGCTAAGAAAAATATTAAAAGTTAAGTGAAAGTAAAAGTTATATAAATTGCAGCAGTTCTTTTGTGTACTTTTCTGTAGGGGGAAAAATCCAATTTCATCAATAAGCACACAGTGGAATGTTTCCTAACAATCTCCAAAGCAGACTAGATTAAACAAAATCTCTGTATTCCTACTCTTCACCTTGCTGGTCCCACTGGAAAAAGAAAGCACCCTGTGTAAGATATCATACATTTCTTTATTAATAAATACTACTGAATGTGTCTGACAAAAAGTATAAACTTGCCACTTAAATCCAGCTAGAATATAAGCTTAACAATAGACAACAATGCAAAATTTGTGATCCATAAATATTTCTTTGGCATGAGTTCTCAACCCCAACTTAAAACCACAATAAAACCACCTATAATCTTCATTTAAAAAAATAATAAAGGCATTCCTACCCATTAGCTGCCTCCCCAAAAAGTTTGTTTGTATGTTTGTTTTGTACCTAGTGGCCAGGAGGTGTCAATACGCTGCATTAGCACACAATTAAAAATTGCTGTTGTTTATATTTCCTTAATGTAGGCACTTTTGTACAATGTTTTAATTGGAGAATTTCATTGGAAAATCCGGAAAAGTGTAAATTTCAAAGAGTGAGTTTCAGTTCATATTTTGGTTTGAATATGCAAATTAGGTAAATCAACATTAAAATGTGCAGTAAATGAAATTCTCCCAATCATTACCACTGTGTTCCAAGATTTAAACACTGGATAAAAGCATCCAAATTCACTTGGCATAGAATTTCCAACTAGACCTGTGCCAATAAGGTATTTGCTATCAATGCATTGAACTCATGGACCATGCCCCCAGCTTCACATATTGATCGGATTCAAACTCAGTGCAGGTCTCTGAACTTTCAACCCATGAAAGAGGATTATGTGGACTGGCATTGCCCCTGGAACACCCCAGGTTTCCTGCATTGTGCACTCTCAGTGCAGTTAGAGATCTATATCACTTCCACAGTCTGCTTGTACCAACTCCGAGAATGTCTTCACATGTTAAGGGTGGCAGAGCTTTAACAATGCCTTATTTCAGTAGGAAAAAAGCAAAGATTGTAAATGGTGGTTGACTAATTCTCTGTCACCTGTTAGGTATGCTTTGTTACATTGCATTGCTAGCAACAGGTTCTATGGTTTCTATGGTTCTATTGTTTCTTGACACTGTCTGGGGACAGCACAGGATTACCTGGAATCAGTGACCTCAGTGATGGCACTCAAGCCCCTGCCCCAACCGTCCCCCCTCACAGCTGGTATGGAATGAACCACTCTGGTTGCCTCTCTGAGGTTGTGGATTGGTCTCCAGGAGAAGCACGAGGGGCGTAATAGAAGGCTGGAGAGGGGAGGAGGTTGGGGTTGATGGTTTTTGGCATATCTTGGCAGCATTTTCCCTCCTTCCCCCACCCCCCCACTAGTTCATCTAGACTGCTGAAAATGGTGAATTAGATGAAAGGCAGGACATGAAGTTTGGCCGCAGGAAAGACCACTGCAGCCATAGCTCTCTCTATGCATTGAATATGAATAAGCCTCTGTATTTGTGGCTATGTGTATTGAGGGCACTGGGCACTGGATTGCACCCTAAGGGAAGTAAGGAAGGAGAGCCTTCATTCCTATAGTTCCACCATCTGAACATTTCAGATTCTTAGGATTTGTCAATATCTTCAAAAAAGGAGATGCAGAAATGTATATTAAGCCACTGGATAGATTTAAAATTGTCACCAAAATATGAAATATATAATCTTAACACAAATTATATTATTTATTGGTACTGATACAGAGAAGATAGAATATTCATTCAATATCATAGGGTACAAATATAGTAAAAACATGTTGGAAGCCAATAAATAAGAACTCAAGCAGGCAGATAGTTAAAAATAAAGTCTCACCAATGTTTGTGACTAAAAAGGAAAAAAATGCCAAGACAACATATTTATATATAAATAATAGCTGTGCTCATTAACCATATCTGATTGCCAGTTATGTCAGATGTGATTTAACTGAGAAATCATTTGAAAGCAATTTCAGAGAAGCTGATATGTTCAATATTATCACTAGGCTGGAACTGCAAGAAATAGAAAGAACTGGAAGAAAAGTAGAAAGGAGAATGCTCCAGTACTCACAGCCTGATCCTATCCATGATGACTCAGAGGTAAATGACACTGTTAAGTACAGCTTACTCTTGTGTGAGTGTGCATCAGATAGCCCCCTTCATGAATTAATTCATGCAGGTAATAAATAAGTAAAATCTTTGCTTTTTTCTAAATGAGGAATGGTATGAGTTTCTACCTGACTTGTTTAAATTAATTTTCCTTACTGAGAGTGCCATCCATTATTTTGACATCTTTTATAGCAAGTGCAAAGTCTTGATTGCTGTTGCAGACCAAAGAAAAGATATTTGCTATCTATATCCACACCCAGTCCTACCTTTCAAATGTGTCAGAAGCAATTTAAATGCCATTGCTTAGAAAAAACATTCAAAGAATGCTCCGAAATGACAATTTGTGTGTGTGTGTGTGTGTGTGTGTGCGGCAAGGGGTTAGGCATGTCAGTGTGATAGATCTGTTTATGGTGTTAATAACTGAGCCTTTCTTAGACTTTTAAAAATATATTGGCTGGTTTAAAAATTATCCCTTCTGTTGTTCTTTTCACTTTATTCTGGTAAGCCATGTTGCACGAGCTGCAGAAATGAAGAACTTGTTCATTCTTTCCTGAGACTAATGAATGCTTTCCTTTAAACTGTAAGTATTATTTGATGACCGACTCTCACATTATTGGCTGTTAAGACACTTCCCTCTGAGAACTTGGTTCAATTTTGCTTTCCTAGCTATGGTTTTGGTTCAGAATTAATGTTTCACAACAGATGTATCTGGAAGATACATGCTTAAAATGTGCCATGATTTATGCTTTTAAATATTAAAACACAGTGTATTTTGCATAACAGAAATAAGAAACAAAACTTGGATATTACCATGACACCTGTCATTTCAAGAATTAACAACCATAGGCCATTCTAAAAATAAATTTGTCAATTAATGGATTATATCAACCTTTTCTAAAGTAAGATACGTTTCTATGAAAGTTTGCATAGGAAAAAGACCAATTTACAGCATGACGCAGCCTGCACAGGCAGTTGTGGGACATTTTTCCGCCTAAACATGCATAGGATTGTATCTTTCAATGCCATTTTCTTTCTAAAATTGTATAAGACTGTGCCCTTAATTTTGTATATAGAGCTATTTTCACTCCGTTTTTTAAAATCAGTTCTGAGGTTCTCGGAATTCCACTGATTTTTGTATTGTTGAGGAATGAATGTTCTTGCTACTACTACTAAGTTTAATATTAGCTGTAGATTATCTAATTTAATTGTCTTCTCCTTAGAATCCAAAGATAATTGGTGTTTGAAGCTTCATTCTTCATTTGAGATTTGGCAGGATTAAAAGAGATGAATCAGTCTTTGATTCTTGGCACCTGCAATAGATTTCTGGAGATTTAGAATAAATCATAGTATTTTTATGTGAAATAAGATAGCATTTACAAATATTAAAGCTATCCTTCAAGCATATAACTATCAAGTTGAATTGTTTATTACTGAAATCCATGTTCATTAATTTTCTCTTTCAAGTTCAAATCTTTCTTCCTTTTCTTTTAAAAGAGATATTTGTTGCTGTTGCTTCTACTTTGGTAATAACACATAGGATATTATCCAAAGCATTCCACTGCTGCTTCCATTCCATGACTGGCTTATTCCATTGTACAAGGGGCACCCACCACTTGTGGAATGGGAATGTGGCTATTTGTAGATATCAAATGGCTAATTGTAAACCATCCTGAGAGCAATGTGCTGAGAGGAATGGCATATATTTTTAAAAAATATAATTAATTAATTATTGCAGTTATCCAATGTGAGCTCCACCAACCTTTTGCTGACCGTTGCTATTCCAGAATGGGTACTTTTACTCATTTTGGGTTCTATTCCAAGAAGGAAGAATACTCCATAAGATTTGACTCAGTTCTTGATAACAATTTCAACATTTTTTTAAAAAATTGTATGTATTACAAAAGAAGCATAATTATTACTTTCAAGCAGTCATATTCAATTTTAAACACTGACAAGGTGAGACAGGAAGTAATTCCATCAAAATTGAAAATCAATGCATGTTTTTCCAGTAGCAATCAAATGCATTGATGAGGTCACACCAAATGACAATCCGTCCTACAAATAAACGATGCAGTATGGATTGTTTCCCATCAGACAATTTGACTTACATGTACTGTTCTTCATTTCCTTCCAAGATTGCATGTAGGCTAAATTATGTACAACTGTCAACTGTCAAGCTGTAAATTATTATAGAAAGTTCCAACAAGAGAAAAAAAAAACCCAGCAGAGTAGGTGCACCAAAAGGGTGGGCTTAAGACCTTGTCTCATCAATGCAATCTGACCAGTTTATAGAGTTCAGCTGACATTTCTCAGTGCCCTGCCCCTTTTTGACACTTTTCTGAAATGCCAGCTAATCCAGAAAGGGGACATCTTAAAACCACCCCCTTTCCATGGTTTGCTTTTGAGTTTATTTCTGTATTTTCCTGGTAACTGTCAAAAAACCCTGCAAGGGAGGCTGAATGAGATAGAGTGAATGGTTCTACACTGACAGGCATGCCCTTTGATTAGTTTTGTTCTGCCACCTCCAAGTTATGTCTGTGTGTGTTAACTCTCAAAGTAATTTTTCCTCCTCTTCCTGCTCCTCTTCCTCCTTCTCCACTGGTCTGGGAAATATATGTGCAAATTTTAAGTCTGGGAACAAACAGAAATCAAAATGTGCAAATTTGCTGTTTTGGATTTGGACAACCCCTAAAGCAAGCAATACATTGTCAGGGTGACTTATTGCCCCAGACAAGGCACTCTGCAAAAATGTTCTGGGTATGGAAGGCATGGCAACCAATCATGGCTAGTTTCGAGCTGAAGTTTGTAATTCAGTCAATGTTTATGACATTCAGCTTGCACAATGAATTAGGGTAAGATTTGTTCAATAAATAGCACAGAAGCTCTTTCCCCTTCTGAAAATCTAATATGATATAGCTCTTGTAGGAACATCTGTTTGCTTCTACTTATGCTCTGCATGCATATTTGTAAGGCTTGCTTACCTGGTAATCATTTTACAGATCTAGATCCTTCCCCCTCCCCCCCGAGTCAAATCATGTTTGTTCTAGAATGAGTATCAGATCTTTACCAGAGGTTTGTCAGAATTAGAAATATAGTATACACATACTATTTAATAGGCCTGTTCATTTCCAGAGCCAAATTCTATCTCTTTGATTCTACCTGCATATCTACAGTATCTAGCTATCCGGGGGGGGGGGGGGGGGAGAAAGAGAGCACAGAAAGAGAGCACAGCCATGAGAGAAAGCTATTTCTTTGTCTGTAAAGTAATACAAGCAGAAAGGATGCAATTTAATGACAATGTTAAGTGTTTGAGTTGCACAGGAATCTTTTTTTTACAGTAGCAAGTTCTTAGATGTGATATTTTAAAACTGAAGTTGCTGAACAAAGCCATAAAGAGAAAGTGTCCTTTGTCACAGGCAATCAACAAGGTTACTTGCTGATTACCTTGTAAGTGTTTACATTTGTGTTTCTTATAGTATTGCTAGGAGTCATTGCTGTAGCAAAATAAAAATTTGGTACAACAATGAGGTGTTTTTGCACTACCATTTTAGCCTTATCAAAATTTTGTATGAAGAAAACTGGTAGGCAATTATCCCAGAATTTTCAGCAGTTTGACCTCTGTTTGCATGAGAAAGGTGATGTGTCATATAATGTCACTCCACATGCAGAACTAACTTTAATGGGTCTGTTTTGCCCTTCCTCTCTATTACTTTCTCCAGGTAATAAAAATAATCTCCTTGATTCTTTTGGAAGGAATATTTTGTGTCTTCAACACTATGGAAACTTATATAGGTGTGTCCCTACTTTGATGTGTATCTTTGGTTATTTAGATCATATTGAGCATATACTAAATAAGAATAAGAATAAATAATCTTGGGTTATTTAGATCATATTGACTATTAGTTATTGAGCATATAATAAATAAGATTGGAGCAGTCAAATGCACACATTTATTTATTTAAAGCTTTTATATACTGTCCAAATAATACATACACATGTGACTGTGCATGGTTGAATTATAGCTAGAAAAAATGTTTAGTTTGTGTATAGAATGAGGCATCAATGTACTTCTGGGTGCATACATTTACATGTGAAGGGGGAAAATCTTTCATTTATTACATGTTTACATTGCTGAATAGTCAACATTTCTGGGCAGTTAACAATCACAGTTAATACTCAGAAAGATCAAGCAGTTTAAAAACAAGGTAAAAGCAACTGATAATAAAAATAACAGGACCTGATAATAAATGAAAAGATTCCATCGTATGCTGTCCAATAACTGGAAGTGTTCTCTACCTGGTGCTGAAAACAGGACGATGCTGGAGGGATGTTTTGGTGTTGTTCACTGTCATGACAGTTTAGGCATGCATGAATGGCAAAGTCACATGTTCCTGTGATTTCCCCCCTACGCATGCACATTTTCTCCAAAGATGACTTGGAAAAAATGCAATATTTCACGCTCTGTTCCCTCCTTCTACAAACCATTGGCATGCAGACATGAAATGAAATCAGCTATGGCTTAACTTGGTCAGCTGTTCTATAATTACTTACTTGCAGTAGTGAACAGGATGATTTGTGAGTGCAAGAACTAGGAAAAAGATGCACACATAAATAGCTAGAAGTCAAATAAAGACAAGTTAATCTCTTCCATGGTCATTGCCTGACTGATGATAGAACACTCCATGACTCATTAATGCTGTTAATAAAGTATAACACATTATCTTTGTTATCTGAGCGCATCACATCCTGGTCTGTCTTTGCACCTTCCTGATAATGTCAGCTCCAACATTGTTCTTCATTCACATGTCACTTTCTATTCTGTTCTTCAGCCCTGACTTGATTTATAATTAAAACAATGTCATTAAGATCAACTGACTTATTGATTTCTTCACCAAATAGTTCACATAAAGTAATTATTTAATTGATTGCGATGTCCTTTCCATATTTCTTTGGCTTTCCTGTAATCACTGCATTAATTTTCTTGTAGAACATGCCAGAAAAAGAAGCTTGGAAAACTTGAAGTACATTTAGAACTGTGTTTTATCATAAAGTACTTATGTAATTCCCTGATACTCTGATTTAAATTTAAAAATGTACATTAATTTAACATGATTGTGTCTAATGTCTGGTTTGGTATTGGAAATGTAAACCATTGAGTAACAGAATTAGAAATGGCAGCAGAGGCTGGAAGGGAATGTTGTACAGAAAAACCATCTCAGCCTACACTTGAAAAACTGTAACTTATACAGTTATAAGTTATAACATAGGCAAGCACCTGAATGTATCATTTCTTTCCATCTCTGTGTGACTGTGTCAACTGGTAAATGTAGGTCATAGGTTCCATAAAGTTCTGCCCAGGTAAAAAGTCAGATAGATGAAATATTCAAAGAATCATTTTTATCAGAAATGTATGAAATAAAATAACTTTCAATATTAAACAAATGTATAATTCTTGTTTCATAAATACCCTCTAAAAAAGTGCACTGCATGCAAAGAGAAAAGGCTTATTTGGTATATACCAGAGCAACAAAGTAAGACACTCTGAGTGGATTCATATGCCACAACAAGCCATGTTGGCTT